TTCTTCTTTTTACTTTTATTTTTTGTTTTTTTTTTTGTTTTATTTTTTTTCTTATTCTCTCTCTCTCTCTCTCTCTCTCTCTCCCTTTCGATCTCATCGCCGCTACTCGTTCGCTCCTTTTTCGCCCGCCCTCGCCCTCGCTTCTTTATTCCCTTTTTCGTCTTTTCCTTTCTTCGTCGCGTCGCTAATTAAACGGCTGTTATTCCGGCCGTAGTCTGTGCGCACACAGCAGAGGTTTTCGCTCGTGAGGGGTGAACAATAGTTGGCCCACCCCATCCGCATTGAAATTCCTCGAGTGTGTTTTGATCGTCCGTTCGGTTTCCGCCTGTTGTAAGGACATCGATTCTTAATCGGCCGTTTCCACTGTCTCTTTCGTCTCTTCTTTTTTCTTTTTCGCGGAAAAAGTCGAAATCTCTGTGGAGATTTCTTTGTCTCTCTCTCTCTCTCTTTTCGTTGATTCGCGAATCGCTTGAAGATCGATCGGGAGAAATTTAATTTTAATTCCGCGAAAATTCGTACGTAAAATGATAACGATGTTCGTAAATAATTTTGAAATATGATTTTCACGAGAGTAAAAGGTATCGTTATTATTATTCCGGTAGAAAATACGATGGATGCGGAGCGAGTTAAGAATAAACGACAACTGCGCTGTATCGTTAATTCGAAGCTTTAAAAATTCCGACAAATATTCAACGCGCATTCGCTTACCTCATCGCTCCAAGTATTTTCCGCTTTTATGATGTAGCTCTTGAAAACATTTTTACTCGGATGTGTATACAAACACATGGATCCACTGTTATTACTCAGCCATTCTGCCCGTGCGTTTTTTCTGCTGCTTTTTTTTTATTTTTTTAATTTCTTTCTTCTTTTTTTTTATTATATATATATATATATATATCATCGCTGTACTTTGCATTAAAAATTCTCTCCCGTTTATTTTTATTCCCGTTGAAATAATGAAATGCATCAAGGAAAAATGCAACGATGCGACAGTTTCTACTTTTTAAAAAATAAAAATGTCCCAGCAGCTCTCGAACGTTATCACATGAAACGAGTACCGATGATATTTAAAATATTATGCAAACACGATATCTTCCTTTTTCTTTCATTGCTCTCGTGATATTTCTTGTAGACAAAAAAAAAAAAAAAAAAGAAAGAAAAAAAAATAATCTTTCCAATCTTCAAAATGTAACGATTTTAACACACCGAAATAAATAAACGACGATAAACGCGAATTTCAAATTTAAGCAAATTTTCACGAAAATTTCCAACCTTTTTAAAAATTACCATTGTTCCATTTTCACGATGTAAAAATCTTTCGATCGAATTTTACAACGTTCAATCAAATTTTTAAAATCCCCGATTTAAAAAGAAGGGGGAGGGAAAAAAAAAACCACCGCTACGTGTTCTACGTGTTGCCTTATTTTTTTTACACAAAAATTCATCCCCTCCCGACCGATTCATAAATCTCGTACGTGTCGATCTACAAACACATATACCCAATACACCGTCAATACAACCTTCGTGGAACTCTGCAGGGTCGTTTTAACACGGGCGTCGCTTCGATTCCAATTTTCCGGTGATATAAACGACGCGGTCCGAGAAAACGTCGCCCCCAGTTCTCCTCGCTCCCTCCATCCTCTCCTTCTTCCCCCTCCATCGAGCCATTTCAACGGTCGAGGTAATACGCTCACGTGGTGTGCAAACACACACACACACACACACACACATACCCTTTCGAATCGCGGAGAAATAAAAGGAATAAGCCGAGGGGCGAAGGGAGGAGGAGGGATCGAATGAATCTTTATCGTCGTCGCTCTTCCACGCGGAATACGCGGAGTCTCAATAACGAAAGTCGATTTCATTTCTTCTCGTCCCTTCTTCCCGGATTTTCTTCCTTCTTTCTTACTTTCTTTTCTCTCTTTGGTTTGGAGGAATGGATTTTATGCGTGTACAGCGGCTTACCGGAGGGACTCGACCGAGAAACGATGAAAACTCGATCGAGCCGATATTAAATAGAATTCCGACGGATGGTTACTCGTATCTGGATTTCAGATATTCGTTTTTAATATGCGCCGAGGATCCGTTTGACGAAGAGATCGAGTATATGTATATGTATATATGCTTGGAGATACGTAACGTATCTGGAATTCGTTCCTCGGCGTATACTCCTCGGATCGAGGCTATTCAATTTTATTCGACGAGATGTATTCTCCGTTGACACGTTAATAACGTGAGACGAGTGAATTGGATTGGACGAGCGAATTATGCAAGTAGAATGAATGGAAGAATGAAAGGAAGGATTTTCCAATTCTTTCGACGAGTGCGCGAAAATTGAATATTGAAATAGATATTGGAGCAATTATATAAGTGTATATGATGATATAAAATAAGAGTTTGCACAGTTTCTCGATAAACGTGCGAGATGCATTAAAATTGAAAATTGGAAGCGTATTTGAAAATTCGAAGCGTGTTCGAGTGGCGCGTTCTCTCCTGTAGAGCTCTATTTTCCAGACGCGATAAACAAGCTCTCCCTGTTACTCGATCGATCACGACCGAGTTACGACGGCGCGATATGCTTTGCGCCGTTTGATATCCCGGAGGAAACGATTTCACAGAGAGCGCGCCCCTAACTACCCTCAACCTTACCTCGTTTACCGTCTTATTATCGGAGCCGACCTTCTCTGATATTTCAAGATTTGCTCAAGTTAATATCACGTTAATATACATCACAGAAAATTCTCCTCCCCTTGCGATTCGGAAGAAATTAAATCTATACGATCGAATACATCGCGATCATTAAAATCGTCAACCTAATATCTTTGATGATTCGAAACGACCACGGTATTAAGAAGAATACCCCCGGGGGTCGAAAGCCCTCAGACGATGGACAAATTTGCATTCGGGTGGGATCCGGCCACGGGCCACGATTCTGTGTTGATCGGGTGTTAGGGTTGGCGAGGCCGCGAGCTAGCCGGAAGAGGAACCAATCGGCCGGCTCGTGTCTTCTTATCGTCCGGGGCGATCAATAAGTCCCGGGAGGAGGAAAGAATCCGCTCACCATTCGCTGCCAGCGACGTCAACGCGACGATGTTAGTTTGGATGAGACTGGCCGTGGTGGGGGAATGACAGGAAGGAGAACGAGGACAGGGTGGATGTGCAGAGGCGGCCGGTGTAGGCAATAGGTGGTGGCCGCGGTGGTGGTGGTGATGGTGGTGGTGGTGGTGGTGGTGGCCGACAGAGAGTTGATAAGGGTTAATTTCGTACGAAGAAGCAGGGGCGCCACGTAGCCCGCTCCGTATGTGCGAGGAGAGAAGAGAAACTGCGGTCCAACGTCTGTGTCCGGTTGTGATTCTTGCGCCTGCCCCGAGTGATGTTCACCCCCCGTCCCAAACCTCCACCTCCGGCCTCGTCCTCGACGACCGACGTCCTGTTGTGGTCGCGCAAGCGCATTTTACCCCGCTTCCGTTTAGTCCGCATCAACGGCTCGGCCACGTCGTTACGTCCACGATCCACTCGCTCGCCACATTCCTCATGAAGCGAACAACGACACGAGGGGAGGTAGTAGTCGTTGGCCGAGATTCAATTGGGTTTTCGAGTGATTCGAGTGCCTTCGAATCCGCCGAATTTGGTCGATCGTCGTCAATCGTCGACTCGTGGCCGAGAAGAAGAGGAGGATCCGAATTGGAACTCTCCCCCGCACGATCCTTCTAATTATGGCTCGTCATGCCTCGCTTCGATCGGCGTCTGTATCCAGATCTGTCGACATCCGATCGGACGCGCCGCTTCGATCTGTATCGCGATAGTTGATCGAGAGCGATGGGAACGATTTTCGGTATTTTTACCATATAAATAGGCTCGAATGTTTGTGCGTCGAATGGGGGAAGAAAAGAATGAAAAGTTAGGGATCTTATTTTTATTTTTCTTCGTTCTTAGTTTTGGATAGATGGATGGATGGATAGATGGATCTAGTAGTAGAAAGAAAGAAAACGGAAGAGAATTTTTCGTAATTTCTTCCTCGAGATTTCTATCAAATTGAATTTGCAATATCGTTTCACCCTTAAACGATAGGTTGTATATCTCAATAATTGCTACGCCGTCTCTGCTTCGTTGGATTTAATGGCGGCAACGGTTACAGCCGTAAGCCATTGCCTGCAGATTTTTCGAACAGGGGTGGAAGAGGGATTTTACGCGTTCACGCGAACCTCCCCCGAAAGCCGCAAAATGCTTCGAAGATTTTACGCGAATCTTCACCCCCTTGGAAATCGGGTTAAACTACCTTCGTTGCAGACAACTTGGCCTTACTCCTAGGTGGATTCATTATTTCATCCAACCTTTCCCTCCTTCTCTTTCCCTCTTCCTCTCTCTCTCTC